TCAATTTACAATACATAATAAAATACTGCAGCTAGACTGCATCGTTAACAATTAAAAAAAAATTATTTCGACTAGTGAATATTATAATTCATTATTATATTTTTGAATTAATAAATATAATTAATAAAAGAAATAAAAATATAAGGTTACTTTCAATACACAAGCTACAGACTTAGCAACGGTCCCCATTCCTTAGTATAAATAAACTTTCATTATGATTTACCATATACTCCTGAAAATAAGCACACTTTTTGCTATATGGGTGTCTAATTTTAGGTATTTTTTTTAAATAAATTATCTCTCCGAAGCCGTATTATAAATTGATCTAAATTGATCAAAATGATCATTTAGTTTATCAAATTTGTAAAACGTACTTTAAATAATATAACTTTAATAATGCAAACTTTATATGAATCTGTTTTAAACCTATTACATATTACACGAAACAATATCAAGAAAAATTCCAAAGCCACAAAAGTTAACTGTAAAAAAACTAAAAAAACTAACTGAAACAAACTTAATCAAACTATAAAATATAACCGTAAATCTTATTTCATTAAACAAAAAAAAGAAGTTGCTGATTATGCTAAGCAACTTGGAAGGAATAAAGTAGCATGCTATTTTGGATTTAATGCTACTATAGTTAGACATTAGGTAAAGGTAAGTTCCAGTTAGGTAAATATAATAAACTAAAATAGTAGACGAATTGGTTCTGGTCGAAAAGCTTTTTATCCTGAAGCTGAAAAAAAGTTGTATGAGTGGATTATTGAGTAAAGGAAGCAAGGTCTAGCAGTAACTTATGCAATTGCAAAAGTTAAAATATTAGAAATTTTAGTAGAAAATAATGTAGCAGAGGATTTTAAACCATCGGATCATTGGTTGTCTGCATTTATGAAGAGGTATAAATTAGCTTGGCAGAGATGTACAAAAATTTCACAAAAACTTTATACACAAACTGAAGAATTATTAGTAAAATTTTACCAATTTATTATTCGTCTTAGAATAGAAAAATCTTTTGACTTACATAATATTTTCAATATGAATGAAACTTCGATCTGATTTGATATGGTTGAGAATTTTACAATCAATCAAAAAGGTGAAAAGACAGTATACATTCGTGCAACTGGTAATGAAAAAAACTGATTTACAGTTGTCTTAACATGTTCTGCAGGTAAATTTTTTTAGAAAAATATATTTAATTTTTTATTTTAAAATTACAATATTAAATTAAAATTTTGTTTATATATAGATGGAATAAAATATCTTCTGATTTGCATATTCAAAGGGAAAAGATTAGTACAAGGTGAATATATTTCATCTGATGTGTTTGTTTAGTTTCAAAAAAATGGCTGGATGGATTCTGAGTTAATGAAGCAATATATTGATTATCTTGAAAGTGTGAGAAATAATAATAGGTCTAGTGTGGCATTAACATTGGTTTATGATTTCTTTAGAAGGCATTTAGAGGAATCATTAAAAAAAAGTTCAAAGATAATGGTTATAATCCAGCTGTGATTCCAGGTAGTTTGACCAGTTTATGTTAACCTCTTTTAACAAACCATTTAAGGATAACCTTAGAAAGCATGACATATGTGGATGGCTGATGGTGATGCTAATCAAACTGTCAGAGGTAATCTTCGTCATGCTAAATTTAGTGATGTGTGTAAATGGGTAAAACAATCATGAAAGCAATTTTCAGATAAAATAATCATTAATTCTTTTAAAAAATGTTATATATCAGATACCTTAGATAATTTAGATATTAGTGATACTGATAATTTGAAAAATTCTGATAAAGAAAATGAAGATTATAATAATGCTAATGATGATAATATTGAATAGTTAATATTTCTTTTATTTGTATTTTTTTTCTTTTATAAATTTTAATAAATTTTTCGAGAGGTGCTTATTTTTAGCATATATAAATGTGAGAGTGCTTATTTTCAGAGGGTGCTTACTTTCAGGAGTATACGGTAATAAAATTGTCACATGATCAAAGATCGACATTTCGCTGATCGCTTCGGACATTAAAGGTTCTCGTTTCCTAATTTTCTATATTTAGTAACTTAACACACGTATTAGCCTTTATGTAGAAGTACGTTATTTCACGCGTTATGTTATAATAACGCGTTTGAATCATTATAAATAAGCTCTTTTTCTTGGTAATATCTTTAATATCTTAAATATCTTACCTCATATCGAAGTCTATTATATTTATCTATAACTACTATATATATTTTTTTTGCTTTCTACTTCGCCAAAAGTTTTATACAAGTTAATATGTTTGTCGTAAAGAGAGGTGTGTAATAGAAGATAATTATTATTAAAATCACACGTCATTGAAAAGATATTACTGTATAGTTCGTTGACTTAAAGCGTGTTTCGCAGTGAAAGATGTTATTTTACTGATTTACTGATATTGTTTTCTTATACTCCTGTCATATTTCGCAAATATGAAAAGACGGAAGAAAAGAAACCGTTTATTTCGATAAGATAACTTCCAGAATATCCAAATTATGTTATGGTTTAAATTCGGAATTTGTCGATCCTGTAAAAATATCTCAAAAGGTATACTATTTAAATCAAAATAAAGATTATATTAAATCACATATTGGACTCACAATTTCGTTTTTCCTATATGATAGGTTGTTAGTGGTATGTATCAAGGCGTTACTACCATAGTACTTGACAACTTGGCGGCTGAAACTGCTGCCTATTTGACATGTAATCATCCCGATTATGCCATCTTGGCCGCAAGAATTGCAATTTCTAATTTGCACAAGGAAACGAAAAAACAGGTACATTAATATTAACTGTGATATTAAGAATTGGATCAATTAAATCAGTCATATTTAGATCTTAATATTCTTCATTTTCCCGAAATATTAGTTTAGCCTAGTTATTCAAGATCTTTATTTTCATATTAATCCAATTCGTAGACTTCATACGCCTTTAATTTCTAAAGAAGTTTATGATATTGTTATGGAAAATTCTGACAGGTTGAATTCAGCTATTATTTATGATAGAGATTATGGTTATAACTTTTTCGGATTTAAAACTTTGGAAAAAAGTTATTTAATGAGAATAGAAGGTAGATTTACCAAAATTTGTACTAAAATCAAATTTTGTTATTGATGTAATTAATTTATTCTTTCGTCTATTGATATAGGCAAAGTTGTTGAAAGGCCACAACATATGTTAATGCGCGTTTCCATTGGAATTCACGGTTATGATATTGATGCGGCTATTGAAACTTATAATTTAATGTCTGAAAAATATTTTACTCATGCGAGTCCAACATTGTTTAATGCTGGTACACCGAGGCCACAGATGTCAAGTTGTTTTTTGGTACAAATGAAAGATGATAGGTAAAAATATCGTATTAAATCATCAAATTCATTTCACTTTGGGCTAACGCGAATTTTATACGCTTTATAGTATCGAAGGAATCTATGATACTTTAACAACGTGCGCCTTAATTTCCAAATCTGCCGGTGGTATTGGCATTAGCATGTCAAAGATTCGAAGTTCTGGATCTTATATTGCCGGTACTGGAGGAACGTCTAATGGTCTTGTCCCGATGCTACGCGTTTTCAATGATACTGCGCGTTTTGTAAATCAAGGCGGTGGTAAAAGGAACGGAAGTTTCGCAGTGTAAGTGAACTTTAAATAAAGCATATTGACTATTAATAATCTGTTCATGTTAATTTATAATTTACAAAACAAAAATTATTAGCTACATAGAACCATGGCATGCTGATATTTTCGAGTTTCTTGATTTGAGAAAAAATACTGGCAAAGAAGAAATTCGCGCACGTGATTTGTTCCTCGGATTGTGGATCCCAGACCTTTTTATGAAGAGTAAGTTAGCTATTTATAAATTTTTATTCCGTATTTCGTTCCTAACAACTGTTATAATAATAAATTTTGAAATTAAAAGGAGTTGAAAATTATGAAGATTGGTCTTTATTCTGTCCTCATGAATGTCCTGGCCTTGATGAAGTTTATGGTCAAGCTTTCGAAGAATTATATACTAAATATGAAAAAGCCGGTAAAGCACGTAAAACCATAAAGGCACAAAAAATATGGATTGCCATAGTTGATGCTCAAATTGAAACTGGCATGCCATACATGTTGTATAAAGGTAAATAATTTTCTCATTTAAAAAACAACTATTTCAAATCAAATCAATATTAATTTTTTGTCATGATTTAGATTCTTGTAATGAAAAATCAAATCAAAAGAACCTTGGCACTATAACGTGTTCAAATTTATGTACAGAAATAATTGAATATACAGCTCCTGATGAAGTAGCTGTTTGCAATTTAGCTTCAATATCATTACCTAAATTTGTTAATACAAAATTGAAAACTTTTAATTTTGTGAAACTTCATGAAATTGCTAAAGTAGTTATTAAGAATTTGAATAAAGTCATTGATCAAAATTATTACCCAGTACCTGAAGCAGAAAAAAGCAATAAGAGACATAGACCGTATGTATAAAATCAATCTTATGTGAATTTTTTTATTGAACTTTTTTTGATATATAATAAATTATTCTTTTTGATTTTCGAACAGGGTTGGTCTTGGAATACAAGGAAAGCATTGACTAATTTCTTTATCACATTTTTGTAATTTATCAATTTTATTCCTAATTCTCAATTAATTCTCAAATTAATTAACAACAACAGGGCTTGCAGATGCTTTAATCCTTCTTAGGTATCCATGGGAGTCTGTTGAAGCGTGTAACCTTAACCGGGATATTTTTGAAACTTTATATCATGCAGCTCTTGAATCATCATGTGAAATTGCTATTAAATATGGTCCTTACTCTACATATGAGGGCTCACCAATTAGTAAGGGTATCCTTCACCATGAAATGTGGGGAGTACAACCTTCAGAGCGATGGGATTGGGCAGGGTTGAAAGGAAAGATCCGTCAATATGGAGTAAGAAATTCCTTGTTGATCGCACCGATGCCTACTGCGTCCACGAGCCAAATCCTTGGAAACAATGAATGTTTTGAACCATACACAAGCAATATTTATCAAAGACGTGTATTAAGTGGGGAATTTCAAGTAGTTGTAAATATCAAGAGACTTTTTATTATATACTTGGTAAAACACGTTCAGTAAATCTAAATTTTTATTTATTTATTCATTAGAATCATCATTTACTCAAGGATCTTACTGAGATGGGTGTTTGGAATGAAGAAATGAAAAATGAGATCATTGCTGCTAATGGATCCATCCAAGGTCTGGAAGAGTTGGACGAAAATTTGAAAAAACTTTATAAAACCATCTGGGAAATCCCACAGAGAGTTTTACTCGATCTCGCAGCAGATCGTGCGCCATTTATTGACCAGTCACAATCATTGAACGTATTTCTCTCTGAACCCAGTATCGCAAAAATATCATCTATGCATTTGTAAGTACTTTATGTATTTTACCAGTTGCTTGTTATCAGATATAATGTTTATTAGTATTAATTAGAATCATTAAACAGTCACGCGTGGAAAAAGGGTCTTAAAACTGGCATGTATTATTTACGCACAAGACCAGCTGTTGATGCAATTAAATTTACAGTCGATCAAGTATCTTTGGCAAAGAAAGCAGAAAGAATGATATCATTAAATAATTCCGACTTCAATAATAATTTAACAAAACGAGTAAGTCAAATTAAAATCGAAGATGAGAAAGACGATGATGAAAATAATGACATGGATTTGAAGGCCAAAGCACTTGCTTGCTCGGTATGATTATCAAAATATTTTGTTTATTATATTTTATATTTTTATATATATATAATTTTTTTTCTGTATCAACTTTTAATTTTAGTTGGAAAATCGGGATGCATGTGTAATGTGTTCAGGTTAATACCTACTTCAAACAAAAAGATTATCTTTCAAATTATGATTAAAAATCCACATATGTACAATAAAAGTTACAGTTTAAAATTTCCTTATAATCGTCATTTTGGAAATGATTGTTCAACTGTACGTTGCAGATTATTTTAATACGGCTTAAATCCGTAAAATGCCTAAAATAATATAAAAATTTCTTGAATTAGCTAGCTAAATGTTTAATATTGTAAATCAAAATCACACAAATTTAGATAGATCGACAAAAAAAAATTATATAAAATACAATAAAAATTTTAATATTGATTTATTAAATTTGTTCTTTGAAAAAGGTATATTATATTATACCCAGTATAATAAATAAAAAATTCATTGCATCATTTTTTTTTAAAAAAAGAATCATGAGTAATTCACAGTTAAAAACGCAAAGACCGCAAAAGGATCAATATTCAGTTGAAGTCACTGGTTCTCCCGATATTCCTGGAGAGGGAAAACCTCGTCGAAATGCTCTTTGTCCCGATAAATTAATTGTTCATCCTAATGGAGCTACCACATTATATGAAAATTTCTTAAATGGCGTTAAAGAAGCAGGTAACATTTTTCAATCGTTACAATCATGTTGAAATTATATATATAAAAAAAAATATTTTTTTTCCAAGCAATGAATTAATTTTTAATTATAATTATAATAGGTGATGGAAATTTCCTGGGACGCCGAGAAATTAAAGATGGACCTTACGTATGGCAATCATATCGTGAAGTTCAAAAACGGGTATCGAATTTCGGATCAGGTTTAAATAAGATGGGATTGAAACCTAAAGATCTCGTGGGATTTTTCTCAATTAATACACCTGAATATGTAAGTATTTCTTTATATCATATCTCATCTTAAACTATAAATCTAAATTTCTTAATTAAATTTAAGGTAATGGCACAACTTGCATGTTATCAATACAATTTCATCTCAGTACCTTTATATGATACATTAGGAGCTGAAGCTATAGAATTTATTGTAAATCAAACGGAAATGGTTTATAGTTTGGTCACAGCTAATAAAGTTCAACATCTTCTTAACATGAAAGATAAATTACCAACCCTTAAAACCATTATAATTACGGATCAATATGACCCAGAACTCACTGAACTTGCGAATTCACTTGACGTTAAAATTGTAAATTTTAACCATGTTGAAAAGGATGGATCCATTCATCCTGTTGAAGCTAAGAATGCTAAACCTGATGATACCGCCATCATTTGTTATACTTCTGGTACAACAGGTACACCCAAGGGCGTTGTGTTAACCCATAAAAATATTATGGCTAACGTTGCTAGTGTTAGATGGCTTGCTGAGAATGGCAAATTATTTTTAGCATCACCAGATGATGTTCATATTTCATACCTACCATTAGCCCACGTATTTGAATTAGTTAACACGGCTACTATGATTTATGGAGGAACGGCGATTGGATTTTATCAAGGGGATACCTTGAAATTGTTGGATGACATTGCAGAATTAAAACCGACTGTATTCATTTCGGTACCACGCTTACTTAATCGTGTTTATGATAAAGTAATAGCCGGCGTTAAAGCTAAAGGTGGCGTTGCACAATGGATGTTTACTACCGCACTTAACACAAAGAAAAATGGTTTAAATAAAGGAAATGTTGACCATTGGATGTGGGATCGTGTAGCTTTTGCTCCAATTAGAGCTAGACTTGGAGGTAGAGTAAGAACCATTTTATCAGGTGCCGCACCTATTTCATCTGAAGTCATGGATTTCTTGAGAATTGCTTTCTCAGCCGATGTTTATGAAGGATATGGACAAACAGAAAATGCTGCTTGTTTAACTATAGTAAAGTATCTTTTTTTTATAAAAAAAAATTTCAAATTAATCATTTTTACATTCATTAATTTTTATTTTTTTAAAATGAAAAAAAAAGACTTTGCATGGTGATATCGCGTCTGGTCACGTTGGTTCACCACAAGTTTGTGTTGAAGTTAAACTTATTGATGTACCAGATATGCATTATACCTCCAAGGATAAACCATATCCTCGAGGTGAAATTTGTGTTCGTGGCCATAGCGTTTTCCATGAATACTATAAACTTCCCGAAAAAACTGCGGAGACTCTTGATAAAGATGGATGGTGTCATACCGGAGATATTGGCCAATGGGATAAATGTGGTCGTCTAGTTATTATTGATCGTGTAAAAAATATTTTTAAACTAGCTCAGGGTGAATATATTGTACCCGAAAAGGTAATTCAACTTAATTTTTTTTTATATATATATATATATTTCAATGACTTATCGAAAAAAATTCTTAACTTTAACATTAGATTGAAAAAATATACACTAAACATGAACTTGTTTTTCAAGCATTCGTTTATGGTGATTCTTTACAACCTTCATTAGTTGCTGTTATCGTACCTAATGATGAAGCACTTTTGAAATATGTCAAGCAAAATAATTTGATAAAAACATCATATAAGAAATTATGTACCGAACCTCAAATTAAAAAACATTTTCTTCAAACTCTTAACAAATATGGTAAAGCCAATGATTTGAAAGGGTTTGAATGTATTAAAAACATTCATTTGGCTTATGAACCATTTTCCATAGCAAATGGTTTACTTACTCCAACATTTAAATTAAAAAGACATCAAGCGAGGATTAAATTTCAAAAAGAGATTGATCAAATGTATATGGAAATCTCATAAAACTTAATCACAATAACGTTTATATGATGCATTAAGCATAATATATAGTATACTAAAATGAAAAGTATATAGGAAAGTTCATATTGGGAAAAAAAAAATTATTTATTTATATTAGAATTTTACTCTCTTTATTTTCATTCTTCATATGATTGTAAATATAATAATTAATTGATAATTTTTAATAATAATTAATAACAAAGTTTCTTTTTATTAAATTAATAAAATAAATTAATAATAATAATCAAAATAACAAATGTAAAAATTTGAACTTAATTAATTAATATAATATATATAAAAACAACTAAAGAATTTTAATCTTATTTTTTAAGCTTTTATTAATAACTAATTATTTAAAGGATATAAATTACAAATTATAATTCATTATATTAATATATTATTTTAATAAATAATCTACAGTTTAACTTTAATATATAAAAACGTTTTAGTAAAGATGATGATATAGTAATTAATTTAAATTTTACAACTTATTGCAACATAAGTAATATAAGTTAAAATTGGTTGTAATATATATTTATAATATTATAAAATACAACTTATTATAGGTTATAAGTTATAATCTTTTAGTTATAGTTCTCATTTTTAATTTTTAGCAAATTAAATCATAAAATATATTCTTTAATATGATTTACTAAAAATACTCTAATATAATATTTATATATTAATCTTTTAGATTATAAAAGTTTGTAATTAAATTTATATGTTTATTTATTATAAATTATCTCTGATTTACTTTTATAAAAATTAAAATATTATTAAATTTATTTTATAAATATGTAATATACAGTAACGTTCAAAAGTATTGCATTACCTGAATACAAAATTTTAAATAGCATTATCTTATGATTAAGAAGGCGCAGCAGTATCAAAATTATTTATTAAACTCAACATAACAAATCTATTCAATGGTATAAAAATTGTTACATAGTAATGTGATAAAAAAATTTTAAATACTTGATTTTGATCATTTATGCGATCCCTTTCTTTTAATTGATTTTTTATTAAAATAT